TAGCAAACAAGCACTTTTTTTTTTTGGCAATTATTAACAGCAACGTTATTAGCAACTTAAACATACGCTTGTTGAAGAAAAAACTACTCTATCAATGCTTTAATATTTTAAAAATTAACAGCTAGGATGACCTATCTTTCAATTTTTCAACCTTAAAAGTTTTCCAGCCAAACAACTGGAGCACATGTACTTCAAGTGTTCAAAAATGTTTTCTTAAAATTCATCCTAGCAAGTGCTTCCTCTTGCCTCGTCACATTGTTTACTCAAATCCCTCTGATTAAGCGAAAGGGAAAATCTAAAAAATGGGATAATCACTTTCTTTTCTCGTTTCCCAGAAAAGCGACCTGCTCAAAATTCATAGATCCCTTCGAATCTCTCTGTCTCTCACTTTCTCATACATCTATATTCTTCTCAGAATCCAGAGTCCACCCCCTGGACTCCTTAGCTACCCGAAGAAATTCATTAAACTGACTCTATTCCGTCTGTAGTCTGAATATCACTTCTACCGTATTCATTGAAAGTCATGAATATCGTGCGTGCCCGTCCGATTCGACCCCGACTCGACCTTTCCCCGAGCGCAAAGGGGAGAAGTGCCTCGGAAAAGGCATTCCCCTCAACCTGGCACTCCATTCTCTCCAACTCCGCTACAACGCTTCTCACCGCACAATTTGACCCCGGAGCCGATTCGCGGGGTTTGTTAAAGGTTTTGGGAACGAAACAATAAGATTCTTTTTTGTTGTTTCTGAACGCATGTCTTTTTTTTGTTCAGTTTTTCATTTCTTGACCACTTCTCGTTCGCTTGTCAGGCTTCTTGTTTGGTTGCTTCTAAGAAAGCCACGATTATTCTAGGGAAAATCTAAACGCCAGAAAGTAGGGCGCAGTGCTTCTTTTTTGTTCTAATACGGTTCCAATACGGTTCCAAAACGGTTCCAACACGGTTCCAATACGGTTCCTTTTTTTGATCTAATACGGTTCCAATACGGTTCCAAAACGGTTCCAACACGGTTCCAATAACAGTTCCTTTTTTTGATCTAATACGGTTCCAATACGGTTCCAAAACGGTTCCAATACGCTTCCAAAACGGTTCCAAAACGGTTCCCAAACGGTTCCAAAACGGTTCTCCTTTTTTGATCTAATACGGTTCCAAAACGGTTCCAATACGGTTCCAATACGGTTCCTTTTTTTGATCCTAATACGGTTCCAATACGGTTCTAAGCACAAAGTACTGACAATAAATTGCCATGTTTGGGTTGTTTATTGTTCAAATTTGTTGAAAACTTGTATCTAAAATCATTGTAAACATTGTTACCCATATCTATTTCTGTAAAACTTCAAAAGAAACGGATTAGAGGAATTTTTGAGTTTTCGGTTTTCAGGATCAACAACCACAAGAATATTTGAAAAATCTTTAAAAAAAAAAAGACAGTTTTGACCCTTTGCACTCATTAAGTTTCACAGGTAGATAGATCATTTTTGATGGATCACCAAAGTTCTCATTTTTTTTACAGAGCTATGCGGAACCTCACAAAATATCACTACTAACTGACTCACTAACTAACTCACCTTAATTAACTAATTAACTAACTAACTAACTAACTAACTAACTAACTAACTAACTAACTAACTAACTAACTAACTAACTAACTAACTAACTAACTAACTAACTAACGGAACGGAAATATCAATCACTATTTTAAAATCAATCCAGCCTACTTTTCTTTGAGCTATAATACTTTCGTTTATTTTGAATTTCCACCAAATTCTCAGTCAAACAGTCATCGACTACGAAACTGTACTTCCCAAATACTGCGAATGAGAAAATAGAGTTAATTCTAAAATGTTTGTTTTATCTAGACCCGTACCAGCCTTTATTCTAGGAAAAGCCTCAAATCCTCGTCTCTACCTTGTCACTCATCCTTTTCTCTCCAGCTTCTCGGTGATCTTTTCATGTGGAAACTAATCAGGGATCACACGGGGCAAAGCCTCTATAAGCTTTGTAAAGAGCTCTTCCTTTCTAGTAATCCGGTCCCCGATTATCTTCTCGATATTGTATAATCTCCGCTCATCACACCACTCACTTGAAAATACTTTTCATCAACGCCTAATGGGCACTTCCTGTTTCTTAAACATTCATCTACATAATTGGTGACTAATGTCTGAATCAAAATGTTTTTGTTATGTTTTGTTATGATTTATTAATCCGATTATAGTTATACGCTTGGATCAGGCGGAAAAATTTAGCTTGGCACGTAGGATTTCCTATTTTTTAAATGATTCAGTCATCGAAAGTAGTTTTGCTCAAAAAGTCAGCTATTTCTGTACTTGAATTGATTGTTTTTCTAATAATTGAAGTGTAATTGTATCTTGACTCCAACTTTCTATGATGTATTCGTTCATTAAGTGTCAATGTTCTAATAAGTGTCATCAAGGAATTTCATAGCTTTCATTTCAAACCAAACTTCAAACTTTTCCTTTTAGACTATCGACTAGACTATTTTAGACTATTCTGCTGTTAAATTTATTATTTATGTGATATTTTTATGTTTTTTTTGCCTTCAAATTGAATCTCTATGGAAATTCGCGCTTTTTAGTCTGCTGATTTTGAGAGGCTTCAAAAAACAATACGTCTTGGCATAAAATTTGGCAAAGAAAGCGCAATTGAACCAAATAGATAATGAGAAGTTTATCAAAAGAAAGAAAATCTATAGTCAGAGCAATCAGTTGATTTCTAGAGTTGATCTAGAATCTACTAGAGTCTACTAGAGTCTACTAGAATTGATTTGCATACTTTAAAGTGAACTGCAGAAAAGCTGCCCCAAGAAACCCATAAAGCACATACCAGAAACCCATAAAGCACTTACCATAAGCACTTACCATAAGCACTTACCATTAAGCTTGTCGATATCTTGACTCAACTTTCTATGATGTATTCGTTCATTCTAGTCTAGCAATAATCACCGAGCAAAGAACAGGCTTGCTATTCATTCGTTTTTCTCTTCCTTTCCCCCGCGAAAATCTTTTTTTGTTAGAGTAAACGTCTTCTCATGGATCATTGTCACTCAAATGTCTGCTTATTTTTCCTCTAATCTTCGATTCCCTTCCAGCGTTCAATCTCAAAAGGTTATTATCTTACCCATTTGAGTTACAAAGTTTGCTTTTGCTTTTGCTAGATCTTTTGCTAGATTAAGTCGAAATAAGCTTGATAAAATTCTTAGTATTTTAGTTTTATTATGTTGGAAAGAAAGTTCTGGATGACCGGAGCTCTATGGAGTTCAAGAAACCATGAAGATTAGATTTTTTATGTTAAAATCAGATTTGTAAATGTTTTAGTATTAATAAATTTAAAAAAGTTGTTCTTAGCACTGAAGTTGATCATGTTTTCCCCATAAAACATTTGATTTTCTTAATTTTATTTTGTCATCTTCAAACAAACAGTTTTACAATTTTCTGCCAACTGCTGTGATTAGGTTGGAAAGAAAGTTCTCGGAAAAAGTTTGACTGGAATTTCTTAAAAACGAATCCACTAATTCGAGAACATTTTGTTCTATTATTTACAAGTCTATTACAGTTCTATTACAAGTGGACTCCAAGAAATTACTCGTAAAAAAATGAGTGCAGCTTTCCCTTAAAATTTTTGAGATTTTTGAAGAAAATTATTATTTTCCAGCTTAAATTCAGCTCACTTTTTGCACTAGAAAAACGATTCCTTATGAGGAAAAGCTAGCATAAATGAGCTAAACTTTAACTACTACTTTAAATGAGCTAAACATATCTAAACTTTAACTCAATGTTGTGATGCAGCTTCTTTAGCCCGTGCCTTACAAATGAGCCACCTCATAGCTACAGGCCACCTTTTTGCACCAGAAAAACGATTCTTGATGAGGAAAAGCTAGCATAAATCAGCAATACGCTCTATAATCTCTATTTTTGGCCAAATAATTTTTTACAGAGAAGCTGCATTTCAAAAAATAATTTTTTCGTGTCATCTTCTAGGCACTGAGTGTTTGCTAAAATCGGTGATTCTGAAAAGTTAAAGCATTAGATAAAATTTGCCTTTATCACAAACTTTCCCTATTTTAAGTACTTCATTTTAGGTTTTAAATGGGACCCATTGTCTATCCATTAACCCATTAAAAACTTGTCTAAAGGCTGATGACTCAAAAAGTGACCAAGTCACTTCAGCTGAAGAAATCTCTTCTTTTTTACCTGACGTCCACTCTGATTTTTTTTGTCAAAAACTTTTTGAAATATAGTCAAATTTATCAAAAAATCTGGGAAGAATTCATGGCTTGGTTTTTGAGGAATCACCGCGCAAACTTTTTTCCGAGAACTTTCTTTCCAACCTAATACGTCCAAAGGGGGTGACTGCGGAAAAGCGTTAAGTTGCGTCGTTTTTGCCTTTTAGCCCAAATTTGACGTGTCAGCGAGGTCTGATTTGTCGAAATTCGGAATCTACGCATACGATTCCCTTCTGTGAAAACATTTTTGAAGCTCTACGGCCTTGCCTAAGGCCTTTTCTAGCAAAAAAAAAGGTGCGCAAATGTCCAGGTGCGCAAAAAAAGGTCGCATTTGTCCCACCCCCGTCCAAATTTAGTCTTTTAGTCCAAATCTTTTAATCCAAATCTTTTAGTTCAAATTTTTCCAAATCATTTTATGTTTTCAATTTTTCCTTCTAAAACCTTTATCCTATTTTTCTTGTCGATTAAAATTACTAGATTCAATTTTTGTTTTCAAAGCCATTATCCTATTTTTCTTCTTCGATTGAAATTACTAAATTACTAGATTGAAATTACTAGCTTCAATTTTTCTTTCCAAAACCATTATCCTATTTTTCTTATCGATTGAAATTACTAGATAGTAGTAGTCCAGATCCAAGATCCAAGCTCTATTTATTGTTCGTAACTTCCTATTAGTTTTTTTTGATGGAATTCAAATTATTATGTTTATCATTCAATTTTTAGTGCCGATCCCCATCGCCAATTGCAAAAAGTCCGGGTTTCATGGACCAATTGACCGTTAAACCGTTGAGAAGAACTAGGTTTGCTTTTTAATATAAGAAATTTTAGAGAAAATTGATTGACAAGCCAATCAATAGATTTTTGTTAGCTGAATATACTGTTTTACCTTTAGATCGGCTCGTTCCGCATCTCCGGCCGTGCATCGATCCATCAACCTCACGCCAGATCACGAAACTTTGATCAGGTTAGTGTTATTACTGATAAAGTTAATATTACTGATAAAGTTGGTAAAGTTACTTTGTTTTTGAAACGTTGTAAGGGTTGATCTGTTTTAAATAACACCATTTGTTCAGGCGCTCATGGCAACGCATTCCAAAGGACAAATTTGGCGAGATACTCATTCGAGATTTGGTGAATCGAATCGGAAGGGAATCTTTTGGAGCTGATGCGACTGTGAGTTTTGAAATGAGCTGAGCGGCAGGCAACCAAAAATTTTAGGCTTTTGAACGACACGCTCGTCATTTCGTGGACTTGATCCAATCGGCTGTCGACAATCTCTCGGATGTCGAAGAGGCGCTGCGACCATGGCTGAACATTTTGGGTCGAGGGCATGTTGGATTCAGGATAAAGTGAGGCTAAATTCTAGAATCTAAAAATCAATAAAGGTAGTGTGTGTTATGTAATAATAATACCATAATATGTGTTACGCCTTATATGAAGGCAGAGTAAGTCGAAAATGTGCCAGATTATTTAAAGTTTGTTATATTGCATGTTATGTGTTACATATCATTTCATCTTTATAACATTTTTACACTTATATTTAAATTTTTAGCCCGATCGGTCGGCTATAAGGAAAATTAGGGCCATTAGAAGCTCTGGCCATTGGCCATTAGCTCTAGAATAAAAGCGTCTGGCACGATGTAGATTGTCTTATGAAATCGTGCTTAAAATTCTTCAAATCTCAAAACTCTTCCTCAAATAATGTTTTTTGCTTTTTCTATGTTGAGAACATAAACAAATTTTTGCTTAAACTATTAGGTTGGTGCAGATGAAACTTCCGTCACACTTGTTTGTTTATATTTTGAACCTTATAAAAGTTTTTATTGAAGATATTTGTCTATCTGAAAGAGCGTCTCTTTCCGCGTCTTTTGATATCTAAGACTTATGCGTTTTACTTAATTTGAAGTAATTTTTAGCTTCTAGAAAATGGTTGACGAAAAATTTCGAGTGCGGGTTTGCTTGTTGTATGATTTTAAACAAGGCAGAACGCCTGCGGAATCTCTGTGCAAAGCATTCGGCGATGTCGTGTTGTCCGAACGTCAATGCTGGACTTGGTTTCAGCGCTTCCGAGACGGTGATGAGAGTTTGGAAGACGAAAAACGCGAAAAACGATGAGTTGAAGAACGAATCGGATCCATGCCAAACAACTCGGGAGCTTGCAGAGCTGTTTGACTGCGACCATACAACCAATCTCCGCCATTTGCACGCAATTGGTAAGACGAATCGGTGTGGAAAATGGGTGCCACATCAGCTCAGCGACGCAAACAAAGCGACTCGAGCTACAATGGCTGGAATTCTCGTCCGCCGCGCAAAGACCGCCGGTTTTCTCGACTCCATTGTTACGGCAGATGAAAAGTGGATATGTTACGACAACACAACAAGAAAACGGCAGTGGTTGGACGCCGGTGAACCGCCAAAACCGACTCCCAAACCGAATGTCCACGGAAAAAAGGTGATGCTTTGTATTTGGTGGAATAGTAAAGGTCTCGTGTATTTTGAGGTGCTGGATTCGGGCCAAAGAGTCACGGCGGATCTCTACAAAGCCCAATTGAGCCGCGCGGACCAGGCATTGCGTCGTCAAGGTAATAACACGGCGACTACAAAATTCCTCCACGATAACGCTCGACCCCACACCGCAAAGATCACTCAGCAGAAAATCGAGGAATTAGGCTGGGAAGTTCTGCCTCATCCGCCATATAGCCCGGACTTGGCCCCATCCGACTACCACTTGTTTCGGTCGATGCAGCACTCTTTAGCAGAAAAAAAATTCAAAAACCGCGAAGAAGTTGAGATCTGGGTGTCCAACTTCTTCGAGTCGCAGTTGCCCGAGTTCTTCGAAAAGGGCATCCATTCTCTGCGTGGAAGATGGCAAAGAGTCATTGATAATGATGGCGAATATCTTTTGGATTGAGGTTCTGTATTAGGATTTTTATAATAAATTTTGTTTATGGTTCCAACGGAAGTTTCATCTGCACCAACCTAATATCATAGGATCTAGATTTTAATTGCTTTAATTGTCACAATGTTGAAAACGAGATGAAATAAGCTTATTTTGGGTGTTTTAAAGGGTTTCAAAACTAACATCAAGCTACAAGTCTAAAGCAAAAAGTAAGAATTTTAATTTTATTAACCTTTTTTGAAGCACAATCACGGAAAATTGTCTACATTTTAAGTGTCTACATTTTAATCACCAGTCTTTATGAAAAAAAGCATCTCCGGGCCAGACGCTTTTATTTACGAAGCTTCTAATGGCCCTAATATTTCTTATAGTCGGACCGATCGGGCTAGAAATTGGAATATAAGTGTAAAAGATGTTATAAAAATGAAATTATAGGAGAATTGAAGTAATCTGCCACATTTTCGACGTAATCTACCTTATAAAAGGCGTAACACATGGTGGTGGCTCATATGGTGGCTCATATTATGAGCCACCTTGTAAATTAGGCATTAAGATTGATTTGGGATTTAGTTTACTGAACATTACAGAGATGTTTTAGGTCAAAGCATTGGGATTCATTTGGTGAATCGTTGATGGCCACAGTTTCTGTGTACATTGGACCTGGCAGAGGACACAAAGAGACGATTAAGGTATGTAAAAGTGCTTTGAAGGAAAAGTTTCGAAAATTTGACGAATAGCAACAATCAACAAATCTGAAACCGCTACATTTCTAGTCTTTGCTGCGTTTGTTGTCGTTATTTCAGTCGTTTCTTGTCTAGCAACTTTGAGAATTATCTTCTCAAAGAAGCTTGAAGATTTCTAACTATTAGGTTGATGCATAAGTCTTTTTGTTCCTTTTCGTCTGCCGTTTCAAGCCAACAAATGCACCAATTAAACTACGGTTGATTTCATTAGAAAAACCAATTATTTTTCTGCAAAATAACATTAAAACGGGTTTAAAAATATTTAATGCCTGGATTTTCTTGAGAGTATGAAGTCGGGTAGTCAAAAAGGGCTAACTCGATGATGCGGTTTAGACACCTTAGCTAAAGAAAACCTATCTTCGTGTCAATAGATAAAAGATAGAGAAAAAAAAGTTTGATATTTCGCCAAAATTTCAGAGAAATTCATTCAGCCAATTTTTCCGTAGAGTTTTTTATAGATTTTTACGAAAAAGGCGTTTTTCACTCTCGAATTTGCTTGAAAGTGAACCGAAATTCATTTAAAAAGATGCAAATTGAACAAAAAAACACTTTTTTTATAGAGCAAACTATAGATTAATTGGTGAATTTGTTACTTTTTAACAGAAGTACGAAAAAAACGAAAAGACTTATGCATCAACCTAATAGAATAACTGACTAGAAGGCCAGTAAAGTTAAACCGATAAAACAGGATATACTGACTTCATAGAGTATCAGATGAGTGCTGGATTACTAAAGAAATATCAAAATATCATAACAAGAAATAGAAAGAAAAAAAAATTCTTTTTAGTCCTGGATGATCCTGTCGACTTTCCTGGCCGATCGTCTCAGCGCAGCTTCTCGATCAACAGCTCATTCTCCAATGGTCACACCTCGATTACAATTGATGACTTTCGTTCAACCATAATTTATCCGATTTATCATTTTGATACCTCTGAAATTTTGAGAATGTATATACTCTTTTATTTTTTAACTTTTTAACTAACTAACTAACTCTAGCTCTAACTCTAAACAAACTGACAAGTTAACTAGTCTCAAACTTTTCCCGATCCGATTGACTTCACCTGTATCTCACTGATCGCACTGATCTCATTTCTCAATTCTAAATCATCTTTTTTTGTGTCGAATAAACCCCTTTGAAGCTAAATGATTGATAAAATACGCTCGAATGACTCATAAAATACACGTATTATTCAAGAAAAATTCTGTCATTGTTGTCATAGTTGTGCATTTTTCAAAAACAGTGTCATTCTCTTCACTGACTCCTGTTTTTCTCTCTTCTTTGTTTACTCACGAAAGTGTTCGTCTTGCTTTTTATTTCTTTCATCCTAGCTTATTTTTTTATTTCTTTCATCCTAGACCATATAGTTTTTCTGTGACACTTTTTAAAAGCTAACCTTTTTGAAAAATCCAGTTTTTTGTTAAGAACCAATTGCAACTACGAAGCTGAAATCGCTACATTTCTAGTCTTTATTGCGTTTGTTGTCCTTATTTCGGTTCGTTTCTTGTCTAGCAACTGAGAATTAACTTGAGAATTATCTTCTCAAAGGAGCTTGAAGATTTCTAACTAGAATTTTCCAGTAAAGTCAAACCGATTTTCCATAAACGGTCAGCTATCATCAGCTGAAAATATGTAGATAGTTTTATCTGAACTCAAGCTTTCGTAAACAAAGTTTATGAAGTTCAATGCTTGAGTACAAATTTAGACAAGGCAGAAACAAGCTGTGACAACTTTGTCACCAAAGCTTGAGCTATTTTATTTTACGAAGTTTTATGCAAGGCTGAATTGGGAAAAAGCTACCGTATAGCAAAATTGTGTCGTTTTTATTGGTGGCAAAATTGTGACTACAAAATTGTTTTTTATTGGCAAAATTGTGGCTATAAAACCCGACGTTTTCCGTAATTTCTCTCTTCTTTTTCAGTATTGATTTTGTGTTTCTCTGGTGTTTTCTTTGTGTTTCGATTAGGTTCTCATTTGGTTTCGATTAGGTTTTGTTGATCTCTTGTGAGATGAAGTTGTTTCTTCGAGGCTTGTTTCATTTGATACGCATCACAATATCTCAATTTGCGACACAAGCCCGCAATCAGTAACTCTGACTAGGGAATAAGATGAGTTTGGTTTCATTTCGAAAGGTCACAGTGATATTTTATCTTTTCCTAATGAGGTTTGATTGAGTAGAGCTGCTAGTTATGAGCTGTTATCATTTTTTAGACAGTTTTTTCTGGTTTTTCTCCGTTTTCCCGAACTTTTGGAATTTTCTCGAACTTCTGGGGAGTTTGACAACGTTTTTGATAACTAGAACTTTGTTTAGAGATAATATTATTGCTAACTTTTATCTAGTTCTATAGAAAACACTTTAGGCTTTCGAATAAGCTTGATTGGATTGGACTATTCGCTTTGATGAAAATCACGAGACAAGGAGCCGATCTCTTTTGGGCAAGTTGACTTTGATTTCCTCAGGATTGGTTAATTCGATCAGCTTCTATTTTATAGCATTCAAAAGCTTGAAATGCGATCTTTAAAAGTATATAAAAGTTAGCAATAATAGAGAAAAATTTAAACGAAATCAATTCAATCAATCAATTCAATCAACGAAATCAATCAATTTGCGAAATAAAAATCAATCAAAACACCCAAAAACGTCTTAAACTCTCAAAAGTCCTAGAAAAGACAGACAGAAAGGAGAAAGAGACGAACAGACAGAAAGGTCAAGACGGACAAGCTGTTTTTCTTATTGAAACTTGCAAGTGTTCAATTCTTTAGCCAAAATTCTTCTTTGATTCAATTCTTTGTTGATAAAGCTTCTTCAATCTTAAAATCTCGCGGATTGCCCTTAACCCAACTATTTGATCGTTTATCTGTGGCTAAACTCTGCATTCAAGCGCATTTCTCATTAGTTTAGCTGTGTATTCCCAGGCAGAGAAATTCAGTAATTACAAGTTGTTGGGGAAAAAGAGGGAAAGAAAGGGATGTCTCCCGTTGTGTGGATCTCCCCTTCACAACGAGAGAATGCTAATTTCCGTCTCCTCTCCATCTCTCCTCCTTCTATTGCCAGCTCTTCCGCACAACGAGAAAATCTATTCAAAATGAGGCCAATATTTAGCTCTAGCCTCAATATTCAGTGCATTTTTTTGAAGCTTTTCGCATGTAAATGAACACTTCTTAATTTTGGAAAGCTTTTAAGTAAAAGTAAGCTTTACCAGTTGCTTGCTTTGGTATTGCTTGCTTTGGTATTGCTTGCTTTGGTATTGCTTGCTTTACCAGTTGCTTGCTTCGCTAAAAAATTCTATACCACTTTTATAGCTTGAACAACAAAACGTTTAACTTTTATTATCTAAAACTGTAGAAAAAAGACTCTAAATAAAGCATGAATATCAATAAAAGCAATCAGTTCTCCGTTGAGCAATTGTTGAGCAATCAGTTGAGTTTTTTTGAAATCACTTATGCCCGGGTTAGTTCTATTCTAAATCTAAAGTTAATGATTCATAATCTAAAGTTAATGATTCATAATCTAAAGTTAATGATTCATAATCTAAAGTTAATGATTCATAATCTAAAGTTAATGATCTAAAACTTTTAAACTTTCCAGCTAACAAATAAGATTCTCAAGATTAGACTGTAAAAACGCTTCTTCAAGATTAAACCGTTCAAGATTTTTGATCTGATAGATTCCTTGCTATTTTTTTTTAAAAATGATTGCACCCAAGCCAGTGCTTTAACAGTAAATCCAGCTGCATTTACTTTACACTTTTCGTATTTTGAATAGAGTTTAATTAGGTTTTATTTAGATTCAGGTTTTATTTAAATCTTCACACCTATTCACAATAAAAGGTTTTCCAAATAGCACCATGATTGCCTTTTAACACATTCGCGACGAGGCCGTTTTTAGATGATCTGATTCCTTTCTCGAAACTGATTAATACCTTGCAAAAAGCTACTTTTTTTGAAAAACTAAAACCACAATGCTCTTCAGTATCTCGCTAGCTATCGATTTCAATAAAGATCTCAAAAACGATCCACTGTAGCTCAAAATATGATTGGCCAAGCCTGAGCCTGAGCCTGAGCCTGAGCCTGAGCCTGAGCCTGAGCCTGAGCCTGAGCCTAGGCCTGAGCCTGAGCCTTTGCCAAGTTACCCCAGGTTAGCCACTGGTAGTCCGAGTCGTCGCGAATAGGTTAACCCTATAAATATTTGATGTAATATATCTTCCCTTTCCCGCAATCCATCCCCCATTCATCTATCGAGATTTCCAATTTAGGTGTGAGCACCGGAGCGTGTCAAAATCGACGGTTACGTGTGTGGCGAGAGGGGAGGGTGAATGATAGGGGGAAATGTCCTCAATATGAGACTCAAGGGGGTATGAGACGGGGGATTCCTCGATCATACCCTTTCACCGATATCCGTTTTGGTCATTTTAGAGTCCAGAGCTTTGAAGCTCATTTGTACCTAGAGTTTGACTTGTTAAATTTTCGCTATGGGGAATAGCTAACCAAATTAACAAGCTCTACTTTAACTTTGATTTATAAAACATCAGTTTACACTCGTTCAATTTGAATTCTTTAGCTATTTAGCTTTTTAGAATGCAAAGCGAAAGCCAGTACGTGTAGAAATCTCAACTCTCAACTCTTGTATCACTTTTTGTATTCAATCTAACTCATTGCCAGCTTTTTGACCGCTCTAGCAGCTTTTTGACAGCTTTTTGGCTCTAGAAGTTTAAAGTTTTCTTACTCTAACTCTAATATTTTCTAAATTCTAACTGTATCCAGTGATTTGAAATGCAAATTTCATTTTCTAGATTGCTTTTTCTAGATTTAAACTGTATCCAAGGATTTTGAATGCAAATTTCAGCTTATTTCAGACTAATCAAGGTTAAATAGTGCTGAATTCAGTGTCATACTCTTTACAACTAATCCTAGTCATTAGATGCTCAAATAGGGTTTTAAAAGAAGCAAATTTATCCTTGGTTTCTAGTAGTTTCTAGTAGTTTCTAGTAGTTTCTAGTAGTTTCTAGTAGTTTCTAGTAGTTTCTAGTAGTTTCTAGTAGTTTCTAGTAGTTTCTAGTAGTTTCTAGCAATTCCAAGTTTTTAATCGTTATGTCCTCAATATGAGACTCAAGGGGATCTGTGTTTCCACTCATCACAGCCTCACACCGATATTGGGATTTGTCCCCCCCCCTTGTTCCCCCTTTCTCGCAGTTCATATAAGCATCTCCTCATGTCACTTTCCACTCTCCACTATCCATCCAATAATCGGCCAGCAACCCCATTTCACACCCCATTCACTCGTGTCTCATTCAGTCAAAGCATCCTTTCAGAAATGATCATTCTGTATTGGTTCTCAAGTTTAGACTTGGCTTTTCTCTAGCATTCTAGCATTTTTCTAGCTTTTTTTAATGTTTTGTGTGTTTCTAGTGGTTTAGATAATTTCATTTTTCCTCGAAAAAAGAAATTCTTCGTTCTTTTTCCTTTTGCTTCAGTTTCCCTCTTGAATTTTGAAATACCAATCAAAACACTCAAATTTGAACGTATTTTTTTGATCCTTTTGAGTTTATTTGAGCTAGACATCCGGGAGAACCTTACACCTTACATGAGCCGGGAGGACCTTACACCTCACATGAGCCGGGAGAGCCTTACACCTCACATGAGCCGGGAGAACCTTATACCTCACATGAGCCGGGAGAACCTTACATGCTAGGCATGTAAGGTCAAAAATTGTAGGCCTCCACATTTTCACATCAAATCACTTTAAGCTGATTTAAACTTTTTAGTTAGACAATTATTAGGTCGAGTCTTGCACCAAGGTGTTAAAACTTTCTTTTCTTGGCAAATAATTAAGCGATCGAGTCACGGTTTCCTCAAATCACAAATCTTTGACTCACAAATCACAAATCTCATTTTTTTTAGCA